CGTTAAATTTTCGCTCTCTACTGTGGTGTAACCCCTTAAAATACAAAAAAGTTCAGAAAATGAATATGACAGTATGTCAGAATCTTCAATCATCTATACATGTTTTAACAGTAGAAAATGAATATTCCGAAAAATTAAGATATATAAAAAAAATATTATTAATGAATAAAATAAATGAGTGGAAGAACACACACTTACGTCGGCAGAAAGAAACCAATTGGTTAAAATTTTTCTACAATATTTAAGAGAAAGAAAAGAGAAAAAAGAAAAGCAACCAAAACTTTGGGTTCGATCCATTTTCACTCAAGAAAGAAGATATGCTCAAGGAGATAGTGCCAATCTAATTAGAGAAATGGCAAATGAAGATTCTGCAAAATATTTTGAATATTTGCGTATGACCAAAGAATCCTTTAATGAATTATTGAAGTTAGTTGAATCAAAAATCACAAAAGAACATGTTATAAGAACTCCAATACCAGCGGCTACACGATTACAAATTTGTCTACGTTATTTAGCATCGGGTGATACAATGCATTCGATTTCTTTCGCTTTTTGAATTGGATTGAATACAACTTCAAGAATTATAGCAGAAACTTGTGAAGCTATCTGGGAGATCTTAAAAGAAAAAGTTTTTCCTGAGATAACAGAAGATTTGTGGATCCAAAAAGCAAAAGAATTTGAACTCTTATGGGATTTTCCAAATTGTATTGGAGCAATTGACGGAAAACATGTGCAAATCCAGGTATGAATGTGTATATATATATATATATGTGTGTGTGTATGTGTGTGTGTGTAACATAAATATAATATGCAGATTATATATATACAGGGTCTACCAAAAGTGTGGAAACCCCTAAATATCTCGGAAAATATACGTTTTACAGAAAAGTGTTTCCAACAAAAGTTGTAGGGTTTAAGAAGATCTATATACTGATTCTATCAGTTTGACCTTGGATGGCGTCGTCAAGGTTAGGTCAAGGTCACATTGACTTTTTTAAATGACACCCCCTACATTTGATTGCATATTCTTATAGCTTAATTCAAGAGCTTTCCAAAACACTATAATAATGTTCATTTTTATTAAGTACTTTGCGAGTTATGAGGGTTGAATGATAGAGTAGCGCCGGTATTAACATTATCCAAGGTGTACTACATGGAGGTTACTCGCTCGGATTTGCATCTGTTATGTGTGTGATCCAGCTAACTAAGGCAAGATCGATTCCTCAACATATCCTCATATTTCGCTGAAGTCAAATTGCCAAAAAATTGCTCCATAAAACGTGTATGAAACGTCTCGTTAGTTCCTTCATTTACCGCTATGTGACGCACTACATGCAGTCTAACTCGCATTTAAAATTCAACTAAGAATGTATAAAGCTATCAAAGAACGAACACCTTCTAACTTCAGCTTTGAGCAAGCAGAAATTAATTGTTATCGTCCAAATACAACGTACGATTAATTAAAATTAAACGTTTTAAAAATGGCTGGCGACTTGTCGGAACGTGAAAGAATCACTATCCTCATGATGCGTGGATGGGGTGATAACGAAAGATCGTTCTCTGATGTCGTTCGATTATTTAATGACACGTATCCGAACCGTCGAATTAATAAGTCCACTGTGTTAAAAACAATAGAACGTTTTAGACAAACTGGTAGCGTAAGAAATCGCTCTAAGTTAGGAAGACCATTGTCTGCAACCAACGAAGAAAAACAACTTGATGTTCTGCAGACATTTATTGAAGATCCCAATTCTAGTGTTCAGAGAGTCGCTGAAACTCACGATATTGCTCCCATGTCGGTTTGGAGAATTTTAAAGAAGAACAAGTTCCATCCATATAAATTGCAATACGTTCAAGAATTGCAAAACGGAGATGAGGAGCGTCGTATACATTTCTGTGAAAGAATGATGGCACTAATAGATGTCCGGCCCATCTTCCCTTATCAAATTGTTTTCACAGACGAGGCAACTTTTACCTTAACGGGAGAAGTTAATAATCAAAATTTTCGTTTCTGGTCAGATGAGAATCCGAATTGGGTGCGGGAAACTCACACACAACATCCACAAAAAATAAATGTATGGTGCGGAATAATAGATGGCTATTTAATAGGGCCGTTTTTTTTTGAAGAATATTTGAACGCTCAAAGGTATGAGAGATTACTTGTTGATCAAATAATTCCAGCCATACAGAATACTTTTCCAAATAATTTCCAAGAAATATGGTTTCAGCATGATGGAGCTCCTGCTCATTTTGGTGCAGGACCACGTCGTATTTTAAATGAGACTTTTCCGCTACGGTGGATAGGAAGAAGGAACGGAAATGAGGGAGGAGAGGATTGGCCACCTCGGTCACCAGATCTAACTCCTCTTGATTATTATCTATGGGGATATCTGAAGAGTAAGGTTTACAGAACAAAACCTAAAACCATTCACGAATTGATACAGCGAATAAGGGATGAAATGGCTTTGATACCTTTTGAAACGAATCGTAAAGTCATTTCTACATTCTACCAAAGATTAGCATATTGTCAGGAAGTAAATGGCAGCCACTTTCAGCATTTACTTTAACACATTGAAACACATTTGCAATCGTTTGGTGCAACCTAACCTGATCTCTGTATACACGCACCGCACGCACGCACACGCACACATTTCGAACAATTATTATGATAAATGAGCATCCACAAATTTATTTACTGTTTACTATGTCGATTGCTTTCCAGGTCTTTAAATGCTCGATTGTAATTTGGTTGGGTCTTTGCTTTTGCTGACTGGATCCACGACCGATCTTGCCTTAGTTAGCTGGATCACACACACAACAGATGCAAATCCGAGCGAGTAACCTCCATGTAGTACACCTTGGATAATGTTAATACCGGCGCTACTCTATCATTCAACCCTCATAACTCGCAAAGTACTTAATAAAAATGAACATTATTATAGTGTTTTGGAAAGCTCTTGAATTAAGCTATAAGAATATGCAATCAAATGTAGGGGGTGTCATTTAAAAAAGTCAATGTGACCTTGACCTGACCTTGACGACGCCATCCAAGGTCAAACTGATAGAATCAGTATATAGATCTTCTTAAACCCTACAACTTTTGTTGGAAACACTTTTCTGTAAAACGTATATTTTCCGAGATATTTAGGGGTTTCCACACTTTTGGTAGACCCTGTATATATATATATATATGTATATATGTTTGTATAATATAATTTCTTATTTTTTTATCTTGTTTTTAACTTTAGGCTCCACCTAAAAGCGGCTCTACATTCTACAATTATAAAAGTACACACAGTATTGTACTTATGGCACTTGTAGATGCTAATTGCTGTTTCACAATAGTTGATATAGGAGCTGAAGGAAGACGAAGTGATGGAGGCATATTGCGGAATAGTGAACTTGGACATTTATTAGAAAATAATCTTTTAAGTTTACCAAAAGCTAGACTAATTTCAGACAAAGGTCCTCAATTACCTTATGTAATAATAGGTGATGAAGCTTTTGCGTTAAATAGTTATATGCTACGCCCATATCCAAGAAGAAGTAATTTAAACATAGATAGAAAAATATTTAATTATCGATTAAGTCGTGCTCGAAGAACAGTAGAATGCGCATTTGGCATTTTAACTTCAAGATGGAGAATTTTTCGAAGACCTATAGCAACAAGTATTTCTAATGCGATTTCTATTATTAAAGCTACAGTTTGTTTACATAATTTTTTAATGGCAAACGATTTGGCACAGTCGTTTGTAAAAAATAGATTATATTCTGCAAATATTTCTTATAAAAAAAATATAAATGAATATTTTCAAAACTTACAAATTCCTACGATTGAAGATGATACATTTCGCTCTGGAAGTACTATTCGAGATCTGTTTATGGAATATTTTTGTACTTCTGTTGGAGCTATTAAACAACAATGGGACAAAGCAAACAGAAATAATTTCTAAAAGTTTAATAAGTAATAAACAATTACAATATTTTTTGTAAAATAAATACTAAGTATGTTTTATATATGACAAGAAATGTAAAGTCATTTTGTCATTAAATAAATTAATTAAAAGCGAGATTAATTTATAAAACATTATTTGCTATTGACAAAAAATTATATGTATGTGTATTATATATAAATTTGTGTCAAACATTAAGGTCCCTATTCAGAACGCGCTTACAAAGATATTAGCGCATTGTTATCCAATAGATGAATCTGTATTATAAGAAACAGATTCTTCTTTTGGATAACAACGCGCTAACATCTTTGTAAGCACGTTCTGAATAGGACCTAAGTCTAATATAAAGATTAAGAAACTATTTTTACATATACATTTTATCTGTGATTCTTTTTGTATCTTACCTTTTAACACACATCTCGGAAAAACTAATATATAAGTTGCTAATATATAATATAAATAGAACTTTCTTATCAAACATACTACTACTATATAAAACAAGAGTCTCTAAGGTTTAATACTTATTCTTTTATTTATGTATCCTGTGTTACTAACAATACAGCTTACAAATAGTATTATGTAGATAAATTAATAAACATATCTAACCAAAGTATGTTGTAAGAGGAAAACTATTAAGTAACAAAAATTGTTATTAAATAAACTTTATTATAAATTCTCTTTATTTAAATTCTCTGTATTATATAAACATATAATTTATTATATTGATTAGTATATAAATAGTTAACTGTATTAGATAAACTGTCTAATAAACAATACATCTTTAACAGACTATACTTGGTTTTATTATACTTGGCAATCAAAATAAAATGATTTATATAAGACAAACATAAAAACTATTAAATTATTGTATTGCACAATCAGTATTGTAACAAAAAAGTATTTTGCAAAAATACCATAAACAAAATAAAAACTAAAAAAAAATGCAAAATATGCAACTTATTGCATCAATCCTCTTGTTATATTATAAAGAAATCAGTCTTATTAAAATATATTTATCACATATATAGTTATCACATCTTGTGTTTGTTATTTCTCATTTTCCTCTTCTACTTCATATAGTCTTGATAAGAATTCTATTTCTAATTTTGATCGTGATTTGTAAGATAATCTACGTAAGCCTTCTGCCAAACGTAACACAAATCCATCTATAGGATTTGCTTCTGTATTTTGTGTTAAGGAATTAAGAAGAGCTTGTTCGTAATCGTCTAAATCAATCTTTTTCCTCTCTGTAACAAATAAATGTATAAATAAATTATTAATTCACTAATTTAAATTGTACATAATAAATACTAAAATTCATACTTTTTGATTTTGTTGATATCGGAGAAACTGGAGACAGCGATGTAGACGTATTATTATTAGTGACAGGAGAAAGAATATTATTGAAATTGTCGCTTGTTGTTGATGTAGAAGCAATACTGTTACTATTTGAACTGCAAGGAATATTGCTATTTGAACTGGAAGCTTGTGGCTCCTTACATGATTTTTGTAAGGATGTTACGGTTCTAAAATAAATGATAGAACGTTACTGCAATATAATTTTTAGTTGAATTATCGTTATTCTTGAACTTACTCTCGATATTCTAATGTATCAGTTAAAAAGGCCATTAAATCGTAATAACGAAAAGATGGTTTTATTTCATAGTTCTTTGGTATACCAGCTGCACCACTCTTTTGCGCAACGCTTTGTTTTTTTTTAAATATATTTCTTGATTTTCGATAACAATCTTTCAGACAGGTCCATCGTTTTTCAGCTTCAGTAGCGGTATAAAAACCTGCAACATACAACGTAATTGAGAAATATATACATATGTAATATTTGTTATATGTATTCATGTATAAAAAACTTTGCAAATTAATAAATAAATAATATAAGTGTTACCATTCAAGTATTCACTAATTTCTTGCCATAAACAATCCTTTTGCTTCCTCCCTCGCTCTTTCACTGAAATGCGATAGTCATATAAAGCTGGTCTCCCTTTTACCGCACTTATTAAATCTTCATCTATATCGCGGTCAGTCTGTTTTTCAAAATTTTCAGGAATATTTTCTTTTTCAATACCTTCTTCAATACAGGCAATGCTGCTTTCATTTGTCACACGCGAATGTGCTCCCAAAGAATCTAAATAATTCAGATTTAGTTTCAAATGTTTGTAACAAATATTATATATAATACTTATGTATTTTAAGGATTAGTTAAATTAAGCGAAAATTAAAAAATTATTTAAAAAATAAATTCTAGTAATGTTTCTTAAACATATTGCTTCTTTTGTAAACACAAATATACATACCATTTCTAAAGAGATTTCGATCTTTGTCCATTACTATTTCTTCACAGTTTGCAAAGCAGCTATGTGTGATTTTTCCATCTTCATCGCTCCAAACAAGCCAGCCACAATATCCACATTTGAATTTCTGCTATTAATAAAATAATAATTGTAACAAATACATGTGGGATGAGCATTTTAACATATATATTTTATGTCCCATATATATAATAACGTACCAAAGACGACATTGCTCTTCTGAGAAATGAAAAACTAGCCTACAAATATTAAAACTGCGCAAAATTATATGTCGCCGTATAGCAGCGATCCAGACAATCAATCAATGAGCGGCGAAAAGAAAGTAGAACACACCGCAAGAGACAATAGCGGAAAAGCTCTTCTTATACAAGAAGGAGGTTGTTCACGAATATAAGAGTTCGGATTATCAAAAACTCGCGGAGTTGCACACGTCTTGCTCTCTCGAGATCTCCGAGCCGAGTCCCTCGCAAACTTTCAATATAAAGGTTTCAATATAAAGATTAGAAATTTTTCCGTTTCTTTTCCGTTCCGTAATAGTTCCGTGCCATGGGGAATCAGGCCGCGAAAAAACGGAACGGAATCATTCTGATTGGTCTAGTCACCTTTCCGTTACTATTCCGTTCCGCTATTTCTTTATCCATCGGGACGAGCCCTAATGCATGTGTGGTTGAGTGCTTGTAAGTGTGTATAAGTAAGTGTGCTGTTTGTGTGCAAGTGTATGTATGTTTGCGCGTAAGATGAGATGAATGAATGATCCCTCCCCCCCATATATGCCCCCCTTAATCCATCCCTCCCCCTTCCCCCTCCTTCCCCACCCGGGGGAGAATCTTTTTTTATTTTATTTTTTTTTTTTACGAGAGAGGAGAAAATGCTTCTTACGCACGCCCCGCCCCCCGTAGGGCGGGGCAGTGTGGGACTCGGCCTATTTAACGGCCCATTACCCACTAAAAACTCCTCTCTTTACGTCCGTCAGGTATTGACATGACTCCGGAGTGGTACCCGCTTTCGCATAACCCACTCCAGAGTCATCTGTCAAGTGGGCTTTCGCCCCCGTCTCTATCGGGCATCCTGGCGAAGTCCAAGGTAAGTGTGGTGTATGTTAGTGTTATGGGGTGCATAGGTATATAATGAGTGGTGATGTGTGGTTGTAAGTGTAATGTATATGCGTGTGGTGATATTGTGTGTGCGCGTGAGTGTCCAGTGCATGTAATGGGATGAATGATTACCCTTCCCCCCCACGTATAATTCCCCCCTTAATCCCATCCCTACCCTCCTTCCCAACTCACCTACCCAACCCCACCTCCCTACCAATGACCCCGTCACGCTAAATGTCCCTGTGAAATTGGTGTCAGTGTGCGTGTGTAATGATAAAATGTGTGAATGATAATCCCTTCCCCCCCTCTCCCTCTTCCTCCCCTTTACTTATACCCTACCCCCCTACCCCTATCCCCCGCGCAATGAGACAAATGCATTATGTATATAAATGTATGTGTTGTGTGTGGACAGTCATAAGAGTTCAGTGTCAGCGGTAAAATAGTATCGGCGTTCAATATCTCGCAGATAGATTTGCGAGTCGTCTAAGGTAAGTAATTGTGACCGTACAATATGTACGGTTTCAGTTCGTCCAGTTAAGTTAGATGTAAGTGTGTGTAAATGTGTGTGTGCGTGAGTATTATGTTGTATTGTGTTGTGTACCCTTCCCTTCCCTCCTTCCCAAATACAACCCCATTTAGAACCTACCCCCCATCCCACTCCTTCCCTCCGCCCTCCATTCCCTCCCCTTTGTTTGTGTATATAATGTAAATAATGTAAATAATGTAAATAGTGTAAATAGTGTGTAATTGAGTGTGTAATTGAGTGTGTGTGTCAGTATAATTATAGGCTAACAGCTTATCTTCGGTGTTTACTCCAAAATTGTTATTGGATACGTAGTGTGCGAGCATTCATCCATTCCGTTCACGGGAGCGTTCCTCCTCCTCCTTAACCAACATAACTGTTTCTGCAAACATCACAAATGCTTGCCAGTTTTCTTCCGATTGCAAAATTTGCACGATAACGGTACCCAATGACAGATCCTGCCCTATTATACTACATAGGAGTTCTCGCTCCTCGTTCCATTGCATACAGCTCTGTAAAGTATGTTCCGGGCTGTCGTCATTCTCGCAAAATATACATTGGGCCGTAGAAACTTTCTCGATACGGTAAAGATATGATTGGAAGCATCCATGGCCGGTAATTATTTGGGTTGCATGAAAAGTTAGCTCCCCGTGTGTACGATCTAACCAGTGTTCCAGCACTGGTTCAATAGCGTGGCAGGTACGAACGGCAGCTGTCTCTCGACGTTGAAGTAGCAGATGCCATTGTCTTCTCATTAGAATAGTCTCTTTTTTTTTATGCCTCATTCTATAAGCTTGCTCCATGTGTTTTGTAGCTTTAAATCTTTGATTCGTAGAAACACTCGACGATAGTAAGTCGCGTGTATTTCCACGGGTATTATCTTAGCCAATAACATGGAGGCATCAGCAGAGACTGTTCTATAACCTGCAATGACTCTTATCGCAGTTGTACGTTGGATACGGCGTAGTGTATCTTTAATTTTACGATTAAATATGTATTCGCTCCAAATTGGAGCTCCATAATTAATTATAGATCCGATGACATTAGCATATAATTTACGCTTCTTTTCACGAGGACCCCGCAAGTTTGGCATTAGTGAGTTAAGAGCTCTACTAACTCGTGATATTTTACCTTCTAGATATTTAAAATGATCTATAAATTTCCAGTCCTTATCGAGTATAAGTCCTAAGTATTTGATGTTAACTTCCAGAGGAACTATTTTACGATCTATTAAATATTAAATATTAAATATTATGCATGTTGTTGTACATATTGTATATATTCCCCCAACTTTAGTATTAAGGGCAATCACGCCCGTCTTAGCAGGGGCGATCTGTAGACCAAGTGATTTGATATTTGTTATAACCTTGGCAACTTGTAGATTAGCTTTAGCTATTGCTAACTCAAGAGTACTAGCCTTCGCCAATACCAAGGTATCGTCGGCGTATCCCAGTATAAAAGTCCCGTCCTCAGCGGGTGTTCTTAATATTTAAGAACATAAGTAAGTATACCTTAGTACTTAAGATCATAAGTAATATTCCACAGGGTCGGTCCGAGGACCGAACCCTGTGGAACTCCCGCGGTGACTTTGCGAGTGATAATGTTGCCCTCAATAGTCGGATATTCAATTTCTCTTATGGAAAGGTAACTACTTATTATTTTCTGTATATATATCGGGAAGGATTTATCGCACAAAGCTCTCCTAATCTCGCCCCAACGGAGCGAGTTGAAGGCGTTTGTTACGTCGAGACTCAATCCAACAACTATTTCATCCTTACGTCGAGCTTCTTCTACAATTTCTTGAACCAGAAAGAGAGCATCACATGTAGAAGTATGTTTGCGAAATCCAAATTGGTTGGCAGCAAGTCGCGATTCGGGATGTCTCTCCATCCAGTCTTGGATTCTATTTTCGATTATCCTTTCTAATAATTTGCCTAACTCACTGAGCAGGCATATAGGACGAGCTTTAATAGTCTGAGCATTAGGCTCCCCTTTAGGGATTAATATCAGAAGTGATTTCTTCCACTTTTCCGGAAAGATTCCTTTCCGAAGACATTCATTATATACATATGTGAGCTTCTTGAGAAATTCCGTTGGGATCTTTTTTAGAAAAATTGATTTTATACCGTCGATGCCTGGGGCTTTGTTTGTACCAGCCTTCTTTCTCAGGATGTTAACCACTTCTTCATCAGAAACATCATACTCTTCCAGCCAAATATCCTCAAAGTTTTCGACTTCTGCACCCTCGTGCCAGTTAAGATCGGAAGGGAACAATTTGTGAACTAATTGTTCTAAAGTATCGAGGGGAATTGTTTCGCTGAAACTCAGGTTACTACGCCGCAGCTTTTTTAACACTATGCGATACGCTAAACCCCAAGGGTTATCATCGATTGATTTTATGAGCTCGTTCCACGCTCTAATTTTTGCTCTCTTAAGCTCTGTACATAAACTCTTCTTTGCCAATCTATATTCGTCTTCTTTTTCTAATATGTTATTTATTATTCCTTTCCGTTTTGCTTTCTGCCATTTCCTTCTTGCTATGTTACAAGCTTTTCTAAGATTAAAAATGACATCACTCCACCAGTAAGTACTCTTTCTTTGTGTAGAGGTTACAACAGGCATGCTATAATTGCACGCATCTGTTAACGTGTTTTGTAACCATTCAACCTTTTTGTCGACATCTCCGACCCAGGAATGATTGATATTCTGCCAGATCAAAGCTTCCTTATACTTTTCTTCATCCATTTTCTTATATGCCCATCTAATATATTTCTTTTTCTTATTTTGTGACACTAGAGATATAGATGTTTCAAATACAAAATAGATGTACCGATGGTCGGATAATGACTCTTCTTCCATAACTCCATTTTGTGAATTTTTGACGTATATCACTGGAGCACCATGTCAAGTCCACCACGGAGGTGCCTTGAGCTCTAACACATGTAGGTTGATTGCCTACGTTTACCAGAACCATGTCTTTACTGGCACACCATCTCTCCAATCTATCGCCTCTCGAGTTGGTATGCTCTGGGGCTGTAGCTGGGGCTACAGCCCCAGAGCATGGACTTCGAATTGAAGTCGCCTCCAAGAATGATGTGGTAGTCGCAAAACTCCTCAATGATATAATCCAGTTCATCTAAGAACTCCTCGAACATACAATTATCGACGTTTGGGGAGATATAACATGAAATTATAATTAAATCTTTCCATTGGATTACAGATGAGAAGCGACCTTGCTTTTGACCTGTTGGTGGCGTAAATGAACCATTCACATTCCAGTGTATGCAGGCTGTATTATCTTCATTCGAAGTCCAGCCCATTTCTTCAGGGACTCTATATGGCTCTGAGATCAACATTATATCTAAGGAGAGCTCTATTTCCATTTGCAGCAAAAGATCTTGTGCAACTTTATTGTTATTTAAATTTATTTGTAGAAATTTAAGCATCTGTACATATTGTATATAGTAGATTGTAAGCTAGACCCAAAGGAGAGCAGGGGCATTAGTATATAGCAACCCCATTACTCCTCTAGTCCAGCCCACCAATCTCCATCTCGTCATCTGTCCTCCGTGCAGATGTAGTACTCGGTTTGGTGTTATATTGCTCGGTTCTCGTTGATGGTGGGGTTTTAGAAGCCTTACATAATTGAGAGCCCATGCGATGATTATCTGGTAGAGCTGACTCGGCGCATATCTTGCATTTGATTTTATTCTTGCACGTGTTTGCAACGTGACCAATTTCTCCGCATCTAAAACATCTACCCGATTAATCCTTATTTGACTTACATTTGGATCGAACATGGCCAAGGCCCCAACATTTGTGACATTGGATGGGCCTATTTGGAAGAAGTTCTACAAGGGCATTTGACCATCCTATTTGTATTTTCTTATTCTCCGCA